ACTTCCTTATTATTTCGATACTCGCTGGCTACTAATACATCGTCTTAAATTATCATTAAAGATAGTAAAATATTTTTTAAATCACTAGCGAGCTGTTTATTAAAAATTTTTTTTACTGAGGAAATTATAAAGAGCCAAACAATTTAATTATCTTCAAGCAACCGGTAGGCGGCTACACCATTTTAGTCTAAAAACCTTTGGGTAGTTGGGACTTATAGACTTAAAACCAGCCCGTTGGGTTTGTTTTAAAATGCGATTTTCTTTGTACCCTCAATAATTTTATATATAATGATGATTAAAATTTTGATGCATTTTTTACTAATTTTTACATTCATAGAAAAATTTTTGTCCGATTATCCAATATAACAATGGACACTTTTATTGAAGGTTTTGGTATATAATATTTTAAATTTTTTTGAACCTCTCATTATTTATAATATAATTTTTGAAATTTGAAACTCACCTCACTTGTATTATACATTATCATTACATATTATGTTGCAATTCAAACCTCTATGATATATGATTAACATTACGTTAAATAAATATTTATTTTTTAATATTCCATTCATATCTCATTTACCGAATTAATTTATATTTCATTTCGAACTTTTAAATCATTTTCCCCTAATAAATTTTATAACTTAATGATAATAATAGAATTTTAAAATGTAATAGAAACACCATGTGTTATAGAAAATGGGATATATATTACCTTTATTTACCCTTAAATCATGATATTATTTATATTTTCAGCATATGGGTTTTAAATTATAAGAATTGAACACCATAGAATTTTTAAAATATATATTAGATTTAAATAATAGCTTATAAAAATATTTATGATTATTATAATTTTATACCATTCCATTCCTTCAATTAAAATTATTATCCCATATCTCATGTATACATTTGTTCTCTTATGCCTTGAAATGATTAGAATTCAAAGTTTCCGAATCTTTATTGTTATAAGTAGTGTTGTTAAATGGCTCGATTTGAGCCGATTTTTAGAAACGGCTAACTCAATATTTTACCCAAAAAAATATTACGCAAGCCTGAATATTTTGCTTATAAATGGCACAATGTTTTGGAAATCTATTAGCGAAAACTCGAGGCTTAAACAATATATTTCAGGCTAAAATATTGAGTTAGCCGTTTTTAAAAATCGACTCAAATCGAGCCATTCAACACTAGTTATAAGTTATGGAAAAAATGGGGACATTACGAGGTTAAACAAACTTTGTTTACAAGTGCCCTTATATTTTCCTTTAATTTCTAGTTCGTTTCATAATTCATCTCTTATAAACTATCGATTTTATATCAAAAAATTATACAAATGGCGCTTTAAACCAGATTAACATAACACTAACATATTATATTAGCTAATAACAAATTATCGCATAAACATTTCATTCACTTACATTTTACAATATTTATATTAACAAACAAACCATTTCCGATTATTATACTTTTATTTTTTTTAAAAAATGTCATTCTCATTCCTAGCTGATTTTTGAACACATTATTCTTTAAATGACAAAGAAAAAATAATATTATTAATAAAAACTCACTCATGCCATGCTTTGCGTGATTTATTTATTAGTGGTTATTTAAGTGATTTACAAATTGTTAATCTTTTTTTTTAATACTATCTCTAGCCATAAAAAGAGACTTAACAAAGTCTAATCGCCTAAGAGATTTTCCCCCTCTAATCTGGGATATTAAAGTACGTTCAGATTTGTTACCTTTGCCAACTTTGTTTAAAAATAACAAACACAAAATTTAAAGCTTTGTAGTCTTATTCTTGTTCTTGAATTCTTAACTTATTTTTACGAAATATAATGGAGAAGAACAAGTTATAAAAAATATTTAGGTAGAAAAGGGGAGCTATCTAGTTTCGCTTCTTTGCCACCTCCCCCTTCCACCATCAAATATTTTAGAGAAATTTTCTCCCAACTTGAATAGGATTAGTAAGGTTTGATACCTGATTAATTGTAACTATTTTCACTTAATATGATATTATCAATGCACAGCCGTGACGTCGCTATTTTATTTTTCAAAAGTCTTTAAAAAAATAGGAAATTTTTTATCTAAAGTTTACCATAAAAAAATGAGAAATTTATACAATTATTTTGGGGGAAGGGATCTCCAAAGGTTTGGAGATACTGCGCCCCACCCAAATGACGTCACTTATGCTTAGATCTAATACGTATTATTTTACTACAATGAAGAAAACAGATTCTGATCTCAATTATATTAAAAATTGGTATTGCGCCACTAAATGAATTCTCACAATTTGGCTATTCTTTTTTAATATTGAGACTTGAGATTTTATATAAAAAAGCCTTTAAAAAACGATTAAACTTAGATATGTGTTTTTTTAAATAAAAGTATTAAAGAGATAGGAAAAAATAACATTGCCGATATTAAAGTAGCAAAAATGATGACTTTAAATTTATTTTAAAAAAAATCTGGGAACAACCATTAAAACGATATTTTTTCAAAAAAGTATTAAAGAGATAGAAAAAGATAACATTGCCATTGTTGATAAAATGGATGTTTAAGATATATCAATCTTTTATAAAAAAATTTAGAAACGAATTGGAAGAAGTCTCTAATTAAACTCTTTCGTCTTTTATTATTATATAATTTAACTATTGCCCATATCGGTCTTATTTTTTTAAGGTACGACATATATGTGTATATATATACACACTACTATATTGTCGATTCTAATTAAGAGTTTCATAAATAGGAGTCAGCTGAAGCGTCATTTTGTGGTGTTTACTTCTAATGGTCTGCATTATCATTATATGAATGCATTTTATCTCATTTAATTGACGTGAATGGCATTACAGCGCACTCTTATGTATAGACACTAAAATACATTTAATAAATGAATCACAATTCTAGTAGTTAGTGTTGTTAAATCGCTCGGTTTGGGTCGATTTTTAAAGCTAAACACTACTAGTATATATATAGGTCCAACTCAACCCTTTTTTTAAAAAAATTCTGACCACTTCTATCCCCGTTTTTCTACCTTTCCTAAATGTAAATGTTAAAATCAAGGTAGCCCGTATGGAATTTACTACGTTTTTGATATATTATACTCTAAGGGGTCCTCTTCAGGTTATGGTTCTAATCAGATGGCTTTTTTTAAAAAATCGCATTTAGAATAGATAAAAAGAGGCTGTTATTAAAATCCTGGTGGTATTTACATATACCTGGGCCAAGTATGACGCAAAATTTCAGAGCCCTATAAAAAAAATAAAACGACGAAATCAGGCGAGTTTGGATTTAAAAAAAAATACAAAATATTTATAAAAGAAGAAATAAAAACACTATTTTATATAATGCGATTTAATGTTTTTAAAATCTTTTTTTTTCATCTGTCTTTCTTTTCTATATATGTATTTATTTCTACAAAAGTAAAGTAAAAGACATAGTAAAACATAAAATATTAATTATATATTATTTTGATATACTTACTGGTTAATCTTATTAATATACCATCCATAATAAATATTATAATTAAAAATACTAGGTATAAAATATAAACGCTTTTGTTTTTTCAAGTTTGACAAACTAATTAAATAAAAACCTTTATAATTTAGTGTCTACGTTTATACCATTTTAGTAATAATAAACATAATTAAAACACATTTAACGGTTCAAATTTATCTTTTATTTTCTGACCCAGGGTTTCGAACCTAACCCGGATCGTGAACCTGGTCAAGCTCAAGAGAGCAATTTTCGTAAATCTAAACCGGCCGTTTTCAAGCTCCTTTTGGGTTCATATATTTTAAATTTAGTGAAGGATGTTCTGATTGTGCGGTTGAATAAAATTTTTAATATTGATGAATAAATATAATAAAGATTATTGAATTATAATTATTTTAAACGTTACATTATAAGTATTTTACTTTAGTATAGTTTGAATGAAATATTTTATAAAATATATTCTTTAAATAGGCTTTTAATTTAGATTTTAAAATTAGATATCTTAAAACTTTGAATGACATTTTTAAAATTTGATTGACATTTCTGAATTGTACCTTACTTTTACCGAACTTAATTGGAACCGAATCGGGTAAGATTTTGATCTCGATTTAAACCCGAACTGAATTTGTACAAAAATTTCGCGGGTTCAAAGCCGCGCTTCTAACCAATTAAAACAAGTTTTTTTAAAATTTTAAATACGAATTAAAATATTTTTGAAAAAATTTTGCCAAGATTTGAAATATGCAACACCGTAGCGCATTTTTTTTATTCAACAATAAGAGAGAAGTACTAGTATTGCATAATTCTTTTTTGGCCTATATCGGCTGATATCAATATTACTTTGAACGATACCAAAAAATAAAAAAAGATAATTAATTAATTATCGATAGATTTCATTTTACTTAATTTTAAATTATACATAATTATAAAAAAAACTCTTTTTTTATTACTGTTATAAAATTTTTATAAATTCTAACTTAAAATTTATGATTACAATGATATGCAAGTAAATGTAAGGATAATAACTTAACAGATGGATAAGAATGTATCGATGTGTTTTTGGTTATCGGGTTGGAATAATGTTTTTTAAAAATATTTTGAAAAGTCTAGTCAGGGCACCAGAAATTTTCATTTGTGGCTATTTAAATAGTATTTAATTATATAATTTCTTATAAAAATTTTGTTTTTAGCTCCTCTATTTACTCTTTTGATATAATAGGTGGTTATATAAATTTATTTATTTTCGTTAACCATTTAAAATGATTGTCTGTTTTATAGCATTAACTTGATAATAACTGCTAACTTAAACAGCCCAAAATATACAGATGACCCGTTCCTTTAGTACCAACCCCTTACCTCGGAGAAGCGAGACGGGCGCAGACTTTAATTTTTTTAAATATCCGGGTCGATTATATTTTTAAAATATTATTTTAGATTATCATGTCTCTAATCCGTTTATTTTATAATATAAATATTCTTTTTTAAAAATTTTTTATTAGAAATTACTAGAACGCGTTGAGGGAAGCGGAAATGCACCCGCGCCTGCTTCGATACGCATAGTGGACGATGAGGATATATCGGACAAAGGATCAGGACACATACCTATTGGCTCAGGTGAAAAAAATTTATGGATAACATTTTTTCTTCTTTTGCTAATATAAGGTTATATATTGCTCTTTTTTACATTTAATTGGAGGCAGCTAACCTATTTTCAAAGTGTATCCCTTACCGAGAAATCTTAATATATATTTTTTTGCTAAAGAAAAGTTGGAAAAATAATAAAAAACCCGAGGAAACGAGCATTTGGAAAATAAATTGAATATAAATATTTTTTTACGGGTTCCAGTCATAGAAAATCGTTGTTTGAGACTGGCTATTTCCAGCCCTCATCAAATTAAAACTAAATGTTTAATCCGAATCCGATCTAATGATATAGGTCGGACTTGGAAAGACTCGCTCAAGGTTCTAATATTTTTCAATGCGATATATATTATAAAAGCCTATTTCAATTATTACATTAATAATTAATTATCGGTACTTATATTTTATATCATTCACAATTTTTATATTTATACCTTAAAGTTTTATTAATTAATTTTTTTTTGAAAATATTTTTTAAATTTCATTTTAAATTCGACTTATATTTTCAAGGATTTATTTTTATAATTATTTTTAAATTATCGAACGATGTATATATAAGAGTATTTATTATTGAGTTAAAATATAGAATTAGAAATGTTATTTTTATGTTTTATTAATAAAGAATAGATTTTAATTTTTATAATATCATAAAAAGAAGCCGACATAAAATCAAATAAAAGTTTTATCTATTTGCTATAAAAACAACGCAAAAAAATAGCATTTTAGCCATCACTTTGTGGGAAAAAAAATAATATTTTGAATAGAGTTTGTAGGTTACGTTTACTTTAGTTTTATACAAAATTAAATATAATTAATTTTTTTTACGATTTATATACCTTTCGATTGGTAAAAAATCTAATTTTATATAAACAGATAACATATCAGGGCTCACTATTTATTAGACAGGGTTCCAAACCTAAACTAACGGTATTACTAACCTCTGACATTGGTTTCGGTTTGGATTCTTGAACATAATTTTATTTAAAGACTTCTATTTGCTTTTTGGAAAAAAATAGAGAAATTCATTTGTAAATCTCTTAATTCGATCGCCAATTTTAAATATTTTTTAACCCTCCCAATATTTACAATTGTAGCCCGCTCGGATAATGGACGGGCGGACTAAACCTCCCCACCCATTGCAGACCTCCACCCCGCACCTCAACATTTTTAGCTGAATTTTACAAAAAGTGATTTTTTAAATTTTCTAAATAGGTCAACGTCAATCTGATAGATGTTACCTCTCCATTGCTTAAAATATAATTTGAAATAGATTTATAAATTTTTTTGTAAAAAAATATTTGCATTATTGGTTTGGAAAATTCTTTTAGTTGCTCTCACCTCATAAAGGTAGTAGCAGCTATTAAATTTATCTTAGAATATATATTTAAGATAAATTTTGGATATCTTGATACATCATTAGAAATCGGATTCAATCCGATTTTTAGAATCTTGCCTCTATAGACAAATTAAATAATAATCAATCAGCTCCTTAATGTAGAAATTGTAAGATTTTTTTATCAATGGAATTTTAAGGAGATAAATTCCGGTCTGTTGCCTTTAAATGATTTTCTTTCGTACGAAAACTGGATTGGAATTTTGATTTTTATTATTGAATTTTAAACTAATAAAACCCTAAATACGCGTCCTTATGATAAAAAAGAATGTACTCTTTATTAAAATAAATAGGCTATAAGGACCACTCAATGTACAAAGTACCCTCATCAATCAAATCGCCATCTTCACCTAGACCAACGCAGATAACAGTCATTCCTCAAACTTACGTGGGCATCAATACAACGACAACCGCGAAATCTTCTATACTCTCTCACACATTTATATATAGATATACATCCGAATCAATTTCCCCTGTTCGGATTACCAAAAAAGTATACACTTTTTCTCCATGATTTGTAATGATCATTAGCAATTTCTATTTTATACATGAAAGAAGTTCCCACATATTTACCAGAGCACGGAAAAAGAAAAGCATAATTTTGAATTCATTTTTTTCAAAATTAATAAATAGTTAATATTGATAAAATTTAAAAAATAAAATCGTCCTTATTTAGAAATCATGTGCGGTCTGAAGGCTAAAAATTTTAACAGGCCTGGCTGAAAAACTCGTAAAAAATCTTAACGGATCAATTCGAGTCTTGTTGATAACCACTAACTGGATATGTATTGCTTGTTTCAAAAATTGAATCAGTTTCCTAAAATTTGATTTCTATCCTTTATTACCTGATTTTTAATATTAAATAAAAATATGTTAAAATTTAGCTCGATCTTAAGACTCTCATCAAAACTCAACCTCCCACAAAAGCGACCAAATTAACAACTTTGTACGCGACCTACCTTAACGGCGCAATCGATAAAAGCTCATATTACACTTCGACCCTTAGGCCATACTCATTCAAAACGCATACACCTTTAATACCGAAAATCACGAAATACATTTATTCCAACGATAATATAAGCAACGAAATAGGGAGTTTGATCGGAACAAAGGACTTAATGATAAAAAAGACCCTGTTTTCCAGACCCGAGATTTTAGCAAGTAAAAAAATATTATATTATGTTAGTATTGATTTAAATAGGAGACCCACAGAGATAACCATTTATAGATACATACCAAAACTGTTAAAAAACCTTTTCATTTCTTTTAGGCCTTGCAGTTTGGGAAAAATCTTGAAAATTAGAAAATATTTGTAATTTTTAGGTAAAATTAGATCAGGGCATTGGTAAATAGTTTGTATAAAATTTTTTGGCCTAGCCCTGGTCTTTATAAGATTGATTTTAAGACACTGTTTTTAAATTAGGCCAGGCTTGCTCGTCTCAGATTTAAAAATATTCAACATAATATATTAAATAATATCGTTATCATATACAGCTGCGATTGGTGGGGTGTGTATAACGTTGCTCTGCGCTATCCTATTAATTCTCTTCATAATATACCGGCTTAGGAAAAAAGATGAAGGGAGTTACGCGCTGGATGAAACAAAACGCGCATTATCTCACCACCATGCACATACTTCAAATACCTATGCACTACCAGGAGGTCCTAATAGCCCTTATAGTAGAGGGGGAAGAGGCCCACCTCCAATAAAAAATTCGCTAATTAATAAAGAATTTTATGCTTAGGATAATCTCTCCTCATGTTTTAAATGACACATAAAAATTTTTTTGATGCCGTGTTACTTTAAATTTCTCTTTTTTTTAAAAAAAGTAAAATTATCCTCAAAACTTCCCTTGATTAAAAAATTTTTTTTAAATTTATACCCAATTCAATAACAAATCCAAATTTTTATTTTACACATGAAAAAGTGAAAGAAATCTCATTTTTTTAAAGCATTTAATTTTTTTGTGATCTATTGAATTTTTTTTATATAAATTCATATTTTTTTATAACAAATTTTAAGCATTTTTTTCGCCAAATATGACACCTAGCATTTTAAAATTTTCATCGAATATATTATTTGCCCATTTGAAAATATCTAATTTATATTTTATTATAATTTTATAATATATTTTAATTTAAAATTAATAAAATTTTTATAAAAATGTCAATTATATAAATATTTATTTAAAAAATATATGTAACATTCATATAAGATTATAGTAATTGTTTAAAATATTTTTTGCATTCTGTAGTCTACCAATCTAGCCTTTGTAATGAGTGCATGGCCTCAGAATAAGTTTTCCTGCCTATATAAAACAAATATTTATAAGCTAACTTTATATTTCCGTTAGGGCTATGTCAATCCATAAATTTTTCACCGATCTGATATTTATATCTACTTTTAAAAAAACCAACTAAATTTCACGAATGATTAAGTGTATTTTATTTTTCATAAGTTAATACTCTCACTTAAAATAGCAATGTTTAAGTGAATGTAGTGTTCTTAAAAAGCGATTACCTAGAAATTTCGCCAATAGAAGTCCAAACTTTCTGATATCTATGGGGAAAATCTTATATTAATTATCGAACCTAGTGTTATTAATTAGCTGACCCGACTCATTTGAGCTAAGCTAGACCTCCAGAAAATCGATATTTATTTATCGCTAATTGAATATGTATTCATCGTAATATAAATATCTAGATTTTTGAATAAATAATTCATAATCGCACGTAAGATACAATAAAATAATTATTTTGACAATTCTCGCAGTAAAATTAGTCAATTTTTATTATATCCAAGTAATTATGTGTAGAATGAAATAGGGCATTGTGTTCAATGTTAGAATAATAAGATGATAGATAGAGAGAGTAAAAGTTTAATATATGTAGGCTATGGTAAAGTATGGGGTGGCATGTGAAATCCCGAACGGCCCTGAGGTATGATGGCTTGAGAAATATGAGGTAAATATTATGTAAAGATGGGAAAACCGAATTTTAAAGTGAGGAGAAAAAGAAATTTGTTGGGGGGAAGGGAATAATAAAATAAAATTTAGTGTTGTTAAATGGCTCAATTTTTAAAAACGGTTTACAAAATTTTAGCCAAAAAAATTACGCAAGTCTGGAGATCAGGTGGTAGAAAGGTTTGGACTATTAACGAAATCTCGAAGCTTGCATGATATTATTTAGGCTAAAATATTAACTTAAAAAGGCTAAACAGAGCCGTTTAACCAGTGGCGAAGCTAGGAATTTTTCTTAGAGGTGTCCATACATATAAAAGCCCCCCCCCCCCCAGGAACACAGGTTTTTCTTTCAAACTCATTTTCGCCCCGGTTAGCTTTCACACCCCACCCCTCTATTTTCTTCTTTAATGTTCATCATGTTCCAATTATAAGCTCCCATTATAATTATGCCGTATAATACTATAACAAATTTATATCGTCAACCAATTCATGCAGTCAATGATAATGAATTTGATTTTTAAAACCATTGCCAGTCACTTCAAATCAAACTAGGTTAACAATTTTGATTTGTTATATATTATTGACTTTTATTATTTTATTTATGTAAAAAAATAAATATTTATATATTACTTTGTTTAAAATCGAAATTGTTAAAAATTAGATATTATTAATCTGTTAGTAAAAGATAAAATAAAGGTTTATAAAAATATTTAGTTTATTGTGTTTTCCTTGTAATAGTTTATCAATTTTTTTTAACAAGTCTAAAATTTAAAATATGAATATAAAAAATAAAGGTTATTAATATTTTTGATAATTAGTAAAAATAAGTTTAAAAATTAAAAGTTTTAAATAGGGATGTACTAGTGATGCAAAATCGCTCCATTTGAGCCGATTTTTAAAAATGACTAGCTCAGTATTTCAGTCAGGAAATTATTGCCCAAGCTTCAAGATTTGGTTAATAGATATCAAAGCCTTTATGCCATATATGAGTAAAATTTTCAGGCTTGAATAATATATTTCGGATAAAATATTGAGTTAGACGTTTTAAAATAGATTACATTTAAGAAATTCTAAAATATTTACAAATATCAAAAAGACTTTACCAATACTAAATAAATTAGTGGAGAAAATGCATCAATTAGTATGTTATTTTGTTGATAGAATTACTTAAAAGGGATGCTAATCATGTGAGCATGATACAGGTGCCCAGACTATGTCAAAAACTAATAGAATGCATTTAGCAAATCTTATGAGGAAATTAATTCATTCAGTCTACATAAAATTAATTCAACGGATATATTTAGTATGTGGTGATCTTGCAGATGCTATTAAAATAAATGACGAGTCTAATTTAATAAACAATACCATAGGAAATTGCTCGTATTCCCTTGAAATTGAAAATTATCTCAAGTGTATTCCCCAGAAATTAAAATTTATCTCAAGGAACCAATATTTAGCAGTAAATGATAATATTCCAGCAGATTCACTAAAATAATGGGCTGAGAACTACCATAAATATCCCTATATTTATAAACTTCCTCCTCAATATCTAGCAATGCCTGTAATAAGTGTATAAGAATCTGTTTTTAGTGAAGCTAATAATATTAACAGTGCCCATTGATGCGGTTGCCCTCAGACAAACTAGAAATTTTGATATATTTTAACATTTATTTAAAATTTCTTAGTATAATTGTTTAAATATAAATAAATGATTTACTGATAAAAATATTTTGTATAATTTTACACATTTAAAAATTAAATATGTATAAAGAGCATAATCAGATGTAATATTGATAATTGGCCAAAATCGATTTGGTATCAACAATATTGGATCAGATTGCCCTATAAAAAGTGGTTTCAATACATCACTAGTTTTAAACACGAAACAAATCAGGCAAAAATTTTTTAATTTTTTTAGTAGTTATTACTAGATAGAAATTCTAGTTCTAATTTTATTTTAATAAAAAAATGGAGAAACTATCGATTTCTATATTATTATGCAAGGCTAGCCTAATATTATAACTGGAAGTTTTATTGTCATTAAGAAATAGATTATTAACTGTCTAAAAAATATATTATAATAATTTTACATCATCACATGACATGTTGAAATCATTTAAAACGTTACGACATCCTGCAGCTATACTGAAAAAAATATATAAAAAAATTAAAGCATATAATTTTGAAATTTTTTAAATAACAAAATTTTCAATTAATAAATCTAATTGTTAATTAGACTTTTGAGTTTATCCTTTTTATTTTATAAGTATAAATTAAATAGATCTATATCTCAGAAAAGTTATACTTTTACTAATCTAGAATGGGAAATATATAAATATGCTCAAATTAGATATTTTTTCCTGTTATTTTTTTCTATAATACATTAATTATTTCTTTATCTGAGTCAATGCATCTAAAACTAAATTAATCTATAAAAATTTTAATTAATAAAAGGTATGATTATTGAATAGGGGTGGAGGGCTAGGAGGGTAATTTATGACCAGTATTAAGATAAATCCCAAACTTTTTATTAACTTAACACTTACATACTTAAATATTAACTCATTAATATTGTATATAAAAATCAATTATTAAGTAATAAAAAAATAAATTGACTATTTTATCTTATAATGGGAAGGCTTTAGAAATTTTAAAACATTTCCTTTATTATATTACTAGAGCTATGCCAATATAATATTGCAGTGGCTTATCCAGGATTTTCTTATGGGGGGGGGGGGTTGGGGGGCTTCGCTCCCTAATCATTCCCCCGGCCTTCGTCCGGGTCTTATGTTTTAGCTATTCTATTAAATTATTCATAAAATAATAATTATATTTCTATTTTTAACTATTATTTACTAATTCTTGCGGATATTACAAGCTTATTTTTTATTATTTCAAGTTAGGTATATTATATTTATTAAAGTTTTTTTAAATGTAAAGTTGAAATAAAGTGTAATGCCATTTTTTTTTATAAAATTTGCTTTAAAAACTAGCCTCAGCTTAAATTCTCATACAATATAAGTAGAATATAATTTTTTTATTGAGAATATTAATAGTAGTGTGTATAAAATATTGACTAGAAAATAATTAAATTATTAAGTTTTTTTAACTTCTTATCAAATACAATATTATACAAAATATTTTCTATAATTATAATGTGATTTTTAATTTTCGTGGGAATGTTGTCAATTCATCAAGAATTTCGTTTGTATTTGGAACCAAATCTCTGTGGATATTTAACAGAGCTAACCCATTTAGCCGAGATTCAGTACTTCGTAAATATGTTTTCAACCTTCTCAAGTTGGAAAAAGTCCTTTCATTCGTACATGTTGTAATAGGCAAACAGGCAAGATATAAAACAACTTCAAAATATTAGGATATCGAGCCAAGATTTCTTTACACCAATTGAGCGCATCAATAGCATGCTCAGGCAAAATAGCTAAACGTAGTAAATATTTATACCACAATTCGAATTCACTGATTAAATTTATTTCAGTATCAATTTCATAGGAATAAAATTTTGCTAAATATTTAATTTTACCAATAGTGGCATTAGAAAACGAAGAAGGATCTTTGGGTAATAAAACTTGAAGATTGCTAGACTTGTTTTTTATCTAAAAACTGTACTTTTATTTATTTCTTCAGTTGAGCCAATATTTATTTTACATCTCAAAAGTGGCCTAGGTGCTAGACGAGGTTTAATTACAGGGTTGCATGTGTTTTATTTGGTTCCACGTCATTACAGAGAAAATTTTACAGAGAAAACAATTAAAGAGAATGTCGTTTAAAGAGAAAACAATTAAAGAGAATGTCGTTTAAAGAGAATTTTTTTATAGAGAATTATTTTATAGAGAATGTTTTTACAGAGAATGATTTTATAGAGAATGATTTTATAGAGAATGATTTTATAGAGAATTTTTTATAAAATTTTATTTAAAGAATATGATTATATTATAAAAAATGTTAATCTATATAATATATAACATTTTTGTATAAATTTGTGTAATTATTACTTAGGGTGTGCATATTGTATTTCTGGCTAGTCAAAACATAGTATGTATTGACTGGCCATATACTATGTGTTAACTTTTATTATAAATATTAAATATTTCGATATGTATGAAATACTTACAAAAGACCAATCTTACATCTCAATTTACCATCATTTATTTAATACATTAATATCTTAATTATCTTTTTGCTAAACTTTCTTAAATTTGTTCATCATTTGAAATAAAGTGAGTTTTTTAGAAAGAGATACTAATTTTGAAAGAAATCGGTCCAATAGATAAAATTTATTTTTTTTATATCATTATATTTGGTAGCATTAAAATAGAGTAAAATTGACACAATGCAAAACTCTATTTTTGAATTTCAGAAAGTTTTATAATCTTATATCATGTTTAAATAAAATTTTCGAAGGTTACAAATTTTAAATTATAGATGTGACACACGGATAATCTATTCTTTAGTTAAAAGATATTTGTCAAGAAGCGACAAACCTTAATCGTACACCTCTATGTGGTTATCAAAATATTTTTATGGCAGTAAAAATCAATTGAAAACAATCTATGTTATGTTATTCTATATAAACGACATTCTCTATCATTGTTTTCTCTATAAAAGTTTCTCCGTAATTGTTTTCTCAATAATTGTTTATTTTGTAAATGTTTGTCACTAAAGACCATTTTAGAATATTTTAAGTAATAATTTAATAATTTTCTTTTTAAATTTTGATAAATTTTTTTTAAATTATGGCTGAATTATTTTAAGTAGTCGAAACAATCAGTTACTACTTCTTGATTTTTACTTATTTCAAAAGGAAAAAACATCTACCAAACAACCTATTCGAGATGTATTCAATTCAATGTGGACGAATCTCCATCGCTATCATTTTCCCAATCCATGTCTCTTCAAAATATTCTATCAAGGGGGCAAGAATAGCCCTATTTTCTTGATAGAATATGGAGGCACATAATTCCTCAAATCCGTGAATTACGTCCTCAACTGGGACATATGCCAGTGACATTAGCATCTTTATATACATAGCAAAATTAGTTTCGCTTTTGTATGCATTGCAAATTCGGGGATTTTTCTGGACAGTGCGCCATATGCATTGCGACATATGGAACAGACACCCGCGCATTGTAGTCATTGGAAATGACTGTTTAAAAGCAGATAAGGCTGCTAATTCAAAATCAATCATAATAACTTTTGGATTTAAAAAAATTTGGAAATTTTTAATTTGATTGAAAATATTAAGGTAATCTTGTTGGCGACGTGATGCCTTCAGAACATAAATAGCGGGAATAATGGTTTTATGTTTCATCCCGTGGATGGTGTATATTTGCTGGAAGAGAGGGGGGCATGTTTTGAATGTGCCATCTGCATACCATTTATCGCATGTTGATAAAAATTGTAAATTTTTAATGGTAGAAAATATTATGCATCGGTGATCATGATGACCACTATCATAAAGTAAAAATTGTTCATTATTATTGGATAATTGATATTCGATTGGTATGACCAAATCAATCAGGCTTACAGGAACGGCAGGCGCTCTTCCTACTTGGCGTCTTTTCCTTTGAATTGTCCTTTTAATTAAGGAACAACTGGGCATTTTCCCAGTGGCGGCTATGGATATATTGCTAGATATATCGGCTATTATATTATTGGGCAGAGATTGGGAACTAGAAGCCACTTGTTTAATTCTATTTAGCTCTCTTCTTGCTTCAATATCTGCAATGTCTGGTACATGGTTATGTTTATGATTGTGGAATATAGGGATTCCGTTCTTAGTTCTTGCACGTCCACTGCATTCGTCCACATTGAATTGAATACATCTCCAATAGGTTGTTTGGTTAGATGTTTTTTCCTTTTGAAATAAGTAAAAATCAAGAAGTAGTAACTGATTGTTTCGACTACTTAAAATAAATTCAGCCATAATTTAAAAAAAATTTATCAAAATTTAAAAAGAAAATAATTAAATTATTAAAAAATAATTAAATTATTAAAAAATAATTAAATTATTAAAAAATAATTAAATTATTAAAAAATAATTAAATTATTAAAAAATAATTAAATTATTAAAAAATAATTAAATTATTAAAAAATAATTAAATTATTAAAAAATAATTAAATTATTAAAAAATAATTAAATTATTAAAAAATAATTAAATTATTAAAAAATAATTAAATTATTAAAAAATAATTAAATTATTAAAAAATAATTAAATTATTACTTAAAAAAATAATTAAATTATTACCTAAAATATTCTAAAATGGTCTTTAGTGACAAACATTTACAAAATAAACAATTATAGAGAAACTTTTATAGAGAAAACAGTTACGGAGAAACTTTTATAGAGAAAACAATTATAGAGAATGTCGTTTATATAGAATAACATAACATAGATTGTTTTCAATTGATAAACACTTTTACTGCCATAAAAATATTTTGATAACCACATAGAGGTGTAAGATTAAGGTTTGTCGCTTCTTGACAAATATCTTTTAACTAAAGAATAGATTATCCGTGTGTCACATCTATAATTTAAAATTTGTAACCTTCGAAAATTTTATTTAAACATGATATAAGATTATAAAACTTTCTGAAATTCAAAAATAGAGTTTTGCATTGTGTCAATTTTATTCTATTTTAATGCTACCAAATATAATGATATAAAAAAATTAAATTTTATCTATTGGACCGATTTCTTTCAAAATTAGTATCTCTTTCTAAAAAACTCAATTTATTTCAAATGATGAACAAATTTAAGAAAGTTTAGCAAAAAGATAATTATGATATTAATGTATTAAATAAATGATGGTAAATTGAGATGTAAGATTGGTCTTTTGTAAGTATTTCATACATATCGAAATATTTAATATTTATAATAAAAGTTAACACATAGTATATGGCCACAGAAAAACAATATGCACACCCCTAAGTAATAATTACACAAATTTATACAAAAATGTTATATATTATATAGATTAACATTTTTTATAATATAATCATATTCTTTAAATAAAATTTTATAAAAAATTCTCTATAAAGTCATTCTCTATAAAATCATTCTCTGTAAAAACATTCTCTATAAAATAATTCTCTATAAAAAAATTCTCTTTAAACGACATTCTCTTTAATTGTTTTCTCTGTAAAAGTTTCTCTGTAAAATACATTCTCTATAAAATAATTCTCTTTAAACGACATTCTCTTTAATTGTTTTCTCTGTAAAAGTTTCTCTGTAAAATACATTCTCTATTAAATAATTCTCTATAAAAAAATTCTCTTTAAACGACATTCTCTTTAATTGTTTTCTCTGTAAAAGTTTCTCTGTAAATGTTTTCTCTGTAATGGTTTCTCTGTAATGACGCGATACCGTTTTATTTGGTGATATAATAAACAAAAACTATTAAGTGGTATAATAATAAGTTTGAAGTGTTTAAAAAAACAGAAATACCACATTTATGTTTTAGGAAAAAAATTTAACAATTAATAAAAATTTTTCATACAACTTTTTAATTACAAAAAAATAATTTTTTAAATTTAAAATGTTTAATATTAATAATATTTTATCTAATAATACCAATAATAGTTTTAGAAATTCTTCTTTATATAATAATAATTCCTTTTTATCTAATCATTCCTTTTTCACATCATTTTCGCAATCTGCTATAAGTGCCAATTATAATAAACCCTATAAACTCACCGGCAATTCAAAACCCAAAAAGAAATTATAATTGCTGGAATAAAGAGAAAATTGACATAGTAACCAAATTTTTGTCCCAGTCTGAAATGAAAATAAAGAACATTGCCAAACATATTGATATATCAATAGCCTCGGTTAACAAATTAAGGCAAGAAACTTTTCCAGAGTTTATAGGGGGGCCATTGAAGCAATATCAAATTCAAAAAAGGGATGCAAAAAAAAGACACATCCGAAATCGAAAGAAGGGTTATAAATATTTTAATGGATAACAACACCTCGACTATCAAAGATATCATAAAAAATTTGCCTCCAGGTTTCCCAAAAAATGAGGGGACTATCCGAAAATATATTAAAAAAATAGGATGGTCTAAAAAAAGGGCTGGAATAGAGCCCGATCGACGAAATACACCAGGAGCAATTCGCATTCGCCAGGCTTATTGCCTTAAAATGCTAAACATTCCTATGGAAAAAATGTTCTTCCTGGATGAAACAGGCATAAACCTACATGTTGTACCTGTGTATGCTTGGGCCCCCTACAACGTCACACCAAATGTGATAGTTCCACCTTCCAAAGGTAAGAACGTTAGCATTTTATGTACAATAGGAATTGGTGGCCTTATAACCTATCGAATTATTGAAGGGCCCTTTAATGGGTTGCTTTTCCTTGATTATCTGAAAGAATTAGTAACAATTCTTCCAAATGATGAATTATCATTATGGATAATGCCGCAATACACAGGTGTCATCTTATTGATAGATTTAAAAATCGAATTGAATTTCCGCCATATTCACCTCAATTAAATCCTATTGAAAACTTATTCGGGGTCATGAAAAACAAATATAGGTCTATACCAAGGCCAAACAATAGAGATCAAATCATAAATTACTTCGATATTAAATCAGTACATTCCGTACGATTTTACAAACTTTTATAATCATATGCATGATTTTTTGGAACTTGGTTTTCGGGGACAACCAATCAATTAAAGGTAATATAAATTTATATAATATTTTAAATATATTTTTATCTTTTCTCTATTTATATAAAAATAAAGATGCCAATTTCGGAACACTCAAAACTAAACGAGAATGCAATTTTAAAATATAATATTTTCTTACAAAATTAAATCATTATGTAAATTATTATTATTGTGTTTGTATTTGTAATTATAGATTATTATAAAATATACAAAATAAAATATTCTTTGGTTGATAATTTTTATATTTCGTTCTTCTGAGCGCCTTTCTATAGAAAAAAAAGAATGGCATCTGCAATATAAGTTAATTACTTTAAAGGTGGGTGGTGGCTGATTTTAAGTTTAAATTCTTTAGTGTAAGTCTTTATGATCAATATTGAGATTTAAGGTTCATAGAATCTGAAATAAAGATCATTAAATACATAGTATTATTTTTTGTTGATGATTTATACAATATTACCACTTATACTTCCAATTCCAAAAAATTAATTTTCCTTACATACGATATTCTAGAAACATTTCATAGGTAAATTCTTATGTTACTTTTTTTTAAAAAATTATTGTAAAAATTTGAAAAAATATTCACTTAAACTATTTTTTTCCTAATACATAAATGAGGTATTTATGTTTTTTAAAAACTTCATAATTAATTATTATGCCACTTAATAGTTTTTGTTTTTATTATATCACCAAATAAAACACATGCAACCCCGTAGTGTTATATCATAAAATTTAGCCTTCGATTCAACGTCTAATATTTATCTACATTCATTCTTATTGTATCTACCTGTTCATATATATTTTCCATCAAATCAATAACCTGAACCAAATCTAAATTTGGTTTTTGTAAATTTCTACAAAGTAGTGAGCTAAAAATAATGTATTGATGCAACTAGCAGCAATGATAAACTCTGATTGATCAATTGAATTCAATAATGATATCACTTCTGACGACACTACTTTTTTTCATGCTCAGCCTTATTTAACTTTTGTATTTCTTCTGTTCTACAAAATGGAAGTAAAAATGAAAAATATTTAAAAAATTATAGATATTTATTAATAATTAAAATATTATTAAAAATACTTATTAATTCTAACTCACTAATAATTTTTAATTTAATAAAATAAATATTATCGTTTTCAATCTCTTTGACTAAATATTTTTTCATTTTATTAATATTTTTGAATAATATGTTGGAAAATTGATATTCAAATATTTGTAAAATTTTGATGAGGGGGGGGGGGTGAGGGGTAAAATTTTTATTAGCTTAAAATTATATTTATGAAAACAGTCAAATTTGTGACGAGGCCTGTAATATTGGAATAGGGCTGATATTTAGTTTTAAATAATATTGGATCTGGCCAATATTTACAGATAACTAATCTAATATTTTCATTGTTTGTTATTTTATAATTTTATATATAATTTTTTTATAAATATTTTACACATAATTTAATAATAATAAAAAAATAATAAAAGGAACAAAATTCTAATTTATGTTTAAAAAAAATAAACTATTTCAAGATAAAGTAGCTAAAAATTTGATTATTTTTTGTTATAATACCTACAAAAAGAAAAGGATTTAAAAATATTTAACAAGTCACATTCAACCATGAATAGTGCCCATATTTTAAATGATATGATTACTTTTAGAGAATAAATAAAAAAAACAAAATATATTTAATTAATGGTGAAAATGTTGGTTTCCTATTATAAAATTAATTCAAAATTAGATGATAAAAAAAAAACCAATTCAAATATTGGATCAGCATTTATAAATGGCATAGCCCTAATAAATAGTTCTTATAAAAATAATATAACTTAATTGCAACTGAGCAAATAGAAGTTCTAATGATAAAATATAAAAATTTACCTCTGAGGTGCATACATTCTATGATGAAATCCTTTCAAATATAAAATCAAGAATATGCACAAAGAAAGGCTTAAAAGAGGATGATTTTTGAAAGATTGAAGCAGTGATACCTATATTAAAAGAGTGTTGTAGTTTACTAATTATTCCATACTTTATAAATTAGGGGGTCGGTAAGAAACATCCAGAATGTATAGAGAACGAATAGTAATGAAACAATTAAAATATCTGATTTATCTTTTAAATGATAAAATTTGGAATTATATATTTACATTTTGCTTGTCTGCTAGTTGGTTCAACCTGCGATATCACCTCCATTAAACGCCTTTCAAAGGCTTTTAAATCTATGTGATATAAAAAGTTATATTTTGATATATAAATAGCAACCTTCTGTTTGAGCAATTGACATTACATACTTTGTTTTTCTGCTTTATTTTAAAAAAAGCAATATCAACCCAACTTTGCCTGTTCGAAAGTAATGTTATTGACATTTTATAATATATAGTTAATTTGTAGTTTGTAATGTCTCCAATGGCCCCTATAAACGAGGGGGGGGGCGTGCTCTAAGCAACTGATTCTATAAATTTAATGAAAGTTTTAAAAATTTATTTCATTTTTTGTTTTACCATATTCATCTCCATAACCAAAAGATTTTTTGTCATATAAAATGATTTTTCCAATTTCAAAATATTCGATACAAATGTTTAATTAATAATAGCACACGGCATAATATAAGTGATGAAAGATCAATTAGGAAAAAGACATGATAGACTATATTTAAAAAAAAGCCTTGAAATAGTAGTTCTTAAAGACATTATTAAACTAAATGCAGATTAGTAATCTGCCCACAAACAAAATGAATTATAATTTAAATAATATTCTAATATATTGTCGTATAATAATATAAATATTCTCATTGAAACTATGAAAAATATGGTTGTAAAAAATATTCAAAAAGAGAGGTTTTTCAAATATAGTTGACGTTGCATATGATGTTTCGAAATCAGTAGCAATTGCTTTGTTAGTAAGGTATATTATGGCAACCCGATGGTTTTGATATTAAAAAAACATGATATGTATTCTACCCATCAAATTCTTAGTTGGGAAAAAAAAGATCACAGGAGTACAGGAGCTGAGATCTCAAAGGCAGCTTTTATTTGGTGCTAATTGATTAATCTAATCATTGTTCAATTATGCCGATCAATAATAGAACGAGATATTTTAGGGATCTTGGACAAAATTCACTTGTATTTCAATCTTCTAAAAAGATTTTAACCTTCCAATATATCTGACTTGTTTGATTTGTTTTGGTACATTCTGGCCAAGGTCATTTAGGATATAAATGGAATTTGATCATTTGAGGACTTTTTTAGTTAAACTACTCATATTCAAGAAGAGTTTGAGAAGAATTATTACGGGAACTGAATTCGCCAACACTCGTCCCTTTTGCGAGGAATAAATACGGATATTGTTTATTATTTTTCATTAATTAAAACAAATGAATATTTTGTAACTAAAAATTTTTAAGAATTATTTTGTTTTTTATATTTTATTTGGATAAATAAAAATTTTTTAAACTAATATTTTTTAAATAATTTTGGTTAAGGTTATATTATGACAATAGGTCGTCTATATATTTGTTTGTTAAGAAATAATGAAAAACTTATTCAGGTAGCTATACTAGGCGGGGAGGGGGATTACTTAGGCTCAATCCAACTAAAATATCTATCTTCTAAGAAAATACCAAAAAAAGAAGATAATTTTCCTAATGTATTCCCTCCATAAATATCGATGAGCCCCTGGTCACTGAAACCATTCAAATATTTTGACCAAATTGCAGAACAAACCATAAGCTTCTACACAATCAGTTTCATTTCAACGTTATTTTATTAAATATAAAAGTTATATCTTACGGACGTTTTTTTTATAAAGTTGGAAAAATCATAAATTTATGCCCTGCCTTCCTACTCCTAACATTTAAAAATATTTTATTTCTTATAAAGTTGAATAATTGAAAAAATAAATTTCAAAATTTTTGAAATACTTATGCAAGATTAATTTCATAATGGAACGCATCAAGAGGTTAGAAAAGATAGGAATAAAGCCAATAATTAATTTTTACATAAAAAAAACAACCATTAAATATTTGTTCATCACATTTAAAATCAAATATAATATATTTTTAAAAGATGAAGTCTCGACCTTATTAGGTTTTTATTAATTTATTAAGAAATCTCTTTTCAGCACCACAGCTAATTGAAATTGTTAGTAATTAAATTCTTAATGGTTCGTATACATAGAAGATGATTCATTTGAGTAGATATATTAAAATATAAAAAATGTCCATAATATATCTTATATAATAGACTTATTTAATCCTTTGTGGATGTGTATATCGAAATCGATTTATTATTTTTATGTGCTTAATAAGATTCATAGATTTGCTTTATTATTTTTGGGTATTTTCTGCATTAGAAAGATTTCAAAGTTATTGAAATTTAAATTGTGATTTGATAATTAATGAAATCTCATAGAAAAATATTTAGAAAAGATTATCTTTTTTTCTTCTCATTTTGCCATTCTAAATATATAAAATTTTCTACTATGCAAATGTTGAGATTGAGATAAAGAGAGGGTAGGAAATATTTATCTCCATATTTCTTAAAAGTGGTTATGGGATACTGCGCCAAGAAACTTTTTCCATGGAGGAGCGTATATATATTTTTTTAGATAAGAGTATTATGAAGGTTTTGTATTGCTGGCAAATATGTGATGAGCTGTATTGTTAGGATCACATAAGTTAAGTTGCTTAGTTAAATCTTTAGCGAAAACAGATAAAAATAGAACAATTACCTAAATAATTATAAATAAAATTTCTTAAATGAACACTTTTGATTTAGTTTTGTAAATTTGTTTCTAGTATTTAAATTATTTTTAATGGTTTTATTATCTAAAATATTAAATTAAATACTCTTTACATAGGTCTTTTTTGAAAAAATATTGATTTTTATCTATTTTGATGTTAATTATTATTCATAATTTTTATCATGTGCTTTTTTAAGTTGGCAGTAGATGTGGTTATTTATGGTATCGATTAAAATAAAGTGTTAGAATGAGAACTAGCCTCATAAGGGGTAGATGGCTACATTCCTTGTGCAGGAGGCTCAGCAAATGACTTTTGACTGAAGGGAAATATAGTACGTTTATTCTACCATTTAAGGAAAACAGATTTTAATTATCTAAGTTAATGTTTAATGTAAGAAGCCCTAAAATTAAGAGTATATAATTCTCAAATTAAGCCTAAATTTAGTCAATTCTTATATTTTTCTCAACATGAGTATACATATTTATATATATTTTTGATTAGAAAAATATACACAACAATATTGATGATATATTATATAATTAATAATTATTTGATTATTGATTCAAAATATAAATATTTTGGAAAAACATGATAATAACGATTTAATTACTTTATTTGCAATTTTATTTAAATAGGCTTTATTAGAATCATATAAATAAGAAATATTTCTTTTGGGATGTTTATTTATACAATGAATATTATGTTATAAGCATAAATTTTAAATTCAATATTTATATTAATTTTTTGAGGAAGCTTTAATTGTGCTGGAACAACTTTTAAGATTTACCAAATGATCAAAATTGCAAACTTGATATGTTTCGTCAAATAAAGTTGATTTTGGACAAATCTCGAAGTACTTTAATTTAAAACTCCGACAATAATAAAAAGAGCGACAATGACTTTCGCGCAAGCCATAGTAACCTAAGACATATTAATACGATAAGTAATAATGTTATATTATTTTAAAAATAAACCATTTTGTTTGTTTAGACAAAATTGTTCATAGGGATTTTTGTGTTTAGTTGCTTTGTCGGCCATATTTTTGTCGAACTGATATATATCTCTATAATATGATATGATCTTAGGCTTCAAAAATGTATCATTCAAAGGGTGTTTCGCATCCTTTATATTTTGGGGTATAGGTAGAGGAAATAGAATGTCATCTTCATATGATGGAGAATTTGCTAAAAATTAAATTTTTATATATAGTTATAGTCACTAGATTCACGTATTGTCAATATGTAAATTTCTGATCAAATTGTCTGAATATTATAGAAATTCTATATATACTAGAATACGTTTTCAACAAAATCAAATTTTACAAAATTTAAAAACGCCTCAACAAATGATAACGTTATTTACTAACATAATTATATTTTATTGGAAATCCCTCATATGTAGTAAAGTCCTAAAAAATTAATTTTTAGGCCTGAGCCTACCCGTTTCCTAATGGCAATTTTGCTGATCTAGGCCCAGTCCATGGCCCGTTGTGGCCCTTAGTCCGATTTTTAAAATAAATCTATAGGGAATAAATTTCAAACTAAAAATATTTATTTTATTCTTAAATATATTTAGGCAATAACTTTGATAATTTCCTGGCCTTTATCTATTTTATTCGCATTTATTATAAAATACGAGTAGAATAATATTTACCATCTTTTGATATTTTTTTTAAACTTTTCTGATTCGTTTTTTTGGATACTATTCATTTATTAGATTTAAAAAATAAAATAAAAATATTTTTTATTGATGATATGCCGGATTTCATTGTATAGAATACAGTACTTATTCTAGTGTACTGCAAGGCTGACCAATCACTTCCAGTAAGTGGTAGCATTATCATAAAATATAGACCCGACCCGTGGTCCCCAAAATGTTATTGTTATATTTCCTTATACTATTCTTCATTTTTTCATCAATTAAATATCACAATTATAAAAATGAATTTAAAAAATAAGAAAAGTTGTAAAAGAATGTGGGAAATATTAACTATTCCTTCTCATACCATATTTTGTAATAAATAGAACTAAATAGATAAATATCATCGAATTATCAAGGTTATTACTGAATATTTAGTTAGTGCATAACATCAAAACAGAGAATAAAATAAATATGTTAATGATCTCTTCCATATAAGCTTCCTAAAAATTTTAAGTCGCTGGCCGCAGTGGACCCAGCGTCTAGGTATAAAAAATTGCCACTGGGTCGTGGTCGGGTTCGGATCATAATTATTGGATTTTGCAGGTCATTTATAAATCAAATTACCTTCCAAGTTGATTATACATATTGACTAAGGCAATACGTGTATAGACCGATTACGCGACTTACTGTAAGAAATTTTTCTGGCAATATCATAAGCAGGTAATACGTGTATTGGCACACTAAATTCATGATTAAATTGTTTGAAATTAATTGGATAGGTATTCTACAAGTTCAAACACGTTTAACAAATGATTGTGCTGTTTTCTAACTTCTAATAATTTATTACCCATGTTTTTTAAGTTTAAAAATCTTACCGAAAATGCATTCCAGTATGTGTGCAGTAGATAACTCTACAAAACTTCAGAGATTATTGTAAGATATTATAAGTGCTGTTAAACGGCTTAATT